GTCTTGAGTCTATTTTCTATTCATTTCACAACGTATGGTGGTGAATAAGTGTGACTTTTCAGGAAAACACTAAATTGTTTGGGTGACCCCAAACTGTTAAACAGTAGTGTAAATGAATAGAACAAGTGCAGGAAGATGTTTCAGGTGATGGTTGAACTGTTTACTTTATCTCTGTGTTTTTAGCCTCCTAATAAAGCTGGAGGCAGCCATGGAGCAGAGAGGAGGAGCAGAGAGGAGGAGCAGAGAGGAGGAGGCAGAGAGGAGGAGCAGAGGGGCTCAGCTCAGCTGCCATCACTCCGATGAGGAAATGTCTGAAACCTGAAACCAGGAAGCCGTTCCGGCCTGAATGGACTCTCTCTGCCTGCAGCCTCCGACCTCTAATAAAAAGCTCCAGAGAGACTCCATGTTTTACTGGGTTCTGGAAGATCTACTTATTACTGCTAAAACTACTTATGAGGTTTAAGCTTCAGAAACAGAAGAAGAGGTCAGGAGACAGAAATGGAAGCACGTCGCCTCCTTTCTGCTCCATATTAAAATCATTTTATTAGTTTTAATAAAGCGCTTACCTCTGTTAGGAATAAAAATCCACGGAGGAAGAAGAGATGAAGGCAGGAAGGAGACCGAGCGACGTTTGGACCGAGGTGACAGCGGATCAGGCTGTTGAACCGGAGCCGGCTGAGTGGCACCTCCCTCCTTGATTGACAACAGGATTGACCAATCAGAGAACTGCTGACTATCACGTTACCGCCAATCAGAAAACTGCACCGAACAGGAGAGGCGAAATCAACTCTCTGATTGGTCCGAGTAATTTTTCACAAATTTGTGCGTAATTACGTCCACAGACCCATTGATACGGCATCTAATAATAATAATAATAATAATAATAATAATAATAATAATAATAATAATAATAATAATAATAATAATAATAGTTCCTTACGTAATTTCAGTCTGGTCTGCTGCTGGAACAAAACGTGTTCTTTACCCAATAAGAATTTACCAGTAAACATGATTAAACAGGTTTTCTTTATTATTCACTGATGTTAACCAGTAAAATCATTTTTGATTAAATATAAAAAGGACATTGATACCACTTGCCAGTGGCGGTTCCAGACCAAATGTACCAGGGGGCCAGGTGGGGGCCAGGTGGGGGAAACTGAAAAGCATGAAATAAAAAAAAAAGGGCAAGAGATTTAAAAACACTGCTCAAAAAAATTAAAGGAACACTTTGAAAACACATCAGATCTCAATGGGGCAAAAAAAAATTCAGCTGTTTCTTTATCCTGATATGGACTGGGTGATGTGTTAGGAACAAAGGATGCCACATCATCAATAGAAATGAAAATGATCAACCTACAGAGGGCTGAATTTAAAGACACCCCAAAAATTACAGTGGAAAAAATGATGCGGCAGGCTAGTACATTTGGTGAAATTTCATTCAGTAATTTGTATGGCCCCCTCGTGGGTGTATGCATGCCTGACAACGTCTCCTAATGCTCCTAATGAGACGACGGATGGCGTCCTGGGGTATCTCCTCCCAGATCTGGACCAGGACATCACTGAGCTCCTGGACAGTCTGAGGTGCAACCTGGCGGCGTGGGATGGATGGAAACATAATGTCCCAGAGGTGTTCTATTGGATTTAGGTCAGGCGAGCGTGGGGGGGCAATCAATGGCAT